TAGATTATTTACATAGAAGGACTTTAATTTTTCTTCCTTCTTTCTCCTTATTCCGTTTTCTTTAGTTCTTACACAGTCAGGTTGTGCAAGCATTTCCCACATTATTCAGAAAACAATGTATCTGGGTTCCACAGAATAGGAATACAAGATTATTTTGGTGTTATTACTGATCCTCATAGCATGATGCTTAGTTGAGTTATGTGATGCTAAATTAAAAGATTGCCCTTTGACATATTTGTATATGTTCCCCCCTCCCACCATCTAACTCTCTCCTGTTGCTGGATTTGGCCAGACTAAGTGGCATAAAAGATAAATTGAAGGGTTCTTGTTATTCAGGAACAAAAAAGCTTGGACTTGGACTGGACTGCGAACCATGGTTACGTGTTAGTATCGTTTTATTCTAGAAAGCTTTTCTCATAAAATTATAGACTAAGGTGCCATAAGGTCTCTTGATCTCAGAGTAGGCATCTCAGATATCATCTGCTTTATGAGGTTTCCATCATTTGGGGTAGAAATGTCACAGAATCTAACTAGAAATACAGAATATTGTCCTTCAGATTTGGGAGACCATCCTTGACTGAAAAAGTTTTTCATAGGTTCAAGTCTATGAATGGCCCAAATTCAAGGTTGCTCAGTTCTGAGGGCACCAATGTGTTACTTCCATACAAAGCATATTCAGATCTGCTTATAATAAATACAGATGTTAATTAAAATCCTCTTTATAATAAAGTAAGACTAAAGTCTGTGTCTGTTCAGTGCTTTCCAGTCGGTTTAGTGATGTTACTTTGTAAAGGACTTTCTGGAACAAAGCAGAGATCTAGAAAGTTCCCCTAGAAAGAAGAGCTGCTAAACACCTCACCCACTCCCACAGTCGTAAGATGAAGACAAAACCACTGGCAAAGTTCCTAGCAGCTCCTTAAGACAAATAAAGCATTTATTGCTACTCTTTTTGATTCAAAAATGAAAGGAAGAACTTGCTGGTACTTCTGTGACCAGTAGAATGAAAAGTACCTCTTTCTTGTCTTGTCTTACTTTGTAAAGTAAAATTGTCCTGATACAAAAGCCTACTAGGAAAGAAAAAACCCAGGGAGGATCAAAAGACTCTAAACCTGCTCTCCACCCCCAAGAAAAACCTAGGAGAGCTGAGTGTATGGGCCACATGTATTATTAATACATATGAGCTCTACTTATTAACTGTACTTGGATACAGGCAGTGTAGCCATCCCTAATGCTTTTGGTGGCAGATTACTGCTTTCATTAGCAATTCCAGATAAATGGAAGTAGATTGGAAGAAGAGATGCTCTAGGAAAGCTCAGGATAAGGACAGGGTCATGACTGGCCTGGGAGTGGGACCTTAGGCTTCATGGAAATCTTGGACCTGGTCTTGCACTGGAGTTCCCCTAAACCTCTTCTGAGGAAGAAAATAGCCTTATGTTTCAGCAAAACAGTCCCATACATGCCCATTGCCAGCAATGGCCTGGTCACTTCAGTGAGAGCATTTTCCCATGGTGAGGTGGGAGATGGCTACAGCTTTAGCAGTGGGCACTGAAGCCTGTGCCTGCTGTGAGGAGGCCAAGCACATGCCCTGTTCCTCGCTCCCTCCTTCCCCACGCAGATGCCACAACCTTGTTTCTGGGGTATGTTGGCTTAGCTGCTTATAGGACTATTGCTTTCTGATTTGTCAGTGGGCTGAGTCGTTACATGTGTGTGTAGCATGCTCCTGGACAGGCCACACTGGAGTACCATCATGTTACTAATGGAATAACTTGGTTTAGGAACCACCTGTACACACACGAAATATGGGTATGGAGAATGATAGCTGAACAGGGTCCCCCTCAGGTGCCTTCAATTATCTGTCTGCCATTAGCATGCGGGCAGGATGCTGACTTTAGTGAAATAACTCAAATAGTTTATTTGCCTTTTCCTTAAAAAACATCCCCCCCACACCCCGCCAAAAAGAAACATTATAGGAAATGCTTGTTCTGTGTAACAATGTTGTTCAGCCACTACCACAGAACGGCAGGATTATATTTACTATAGTGGGTAATTAATTCCACATAAATTACATGTTGTTTTGACATTTTATTGCCTTTGCTACGGTTTCACTATTCCAAGCAGCTTATTTAAGTGTAATTGACAATTATGTGTTAGGTGATGTGGGATTTGCAAAACTCTAGAAGTTTTGCAAGCAGTAACCATGATGTGGATTTCTTTTAAATAATAAGAGAGTAACCTAGTATTTAAAATGATTAGCTCATATAGATAAAATAATTATTATATAGCTATAGATGATGCAACTGCAGATTTGAGTTGTAGAGTTTTATGTGACTATTATTTTAATTTCTATTTTAAAAAGTGAAGTTAATGTCCTAATGGCATTTCAATTATTTCTAGATTTTTTTGAAATTTTACTAATTAAAGAGACATTTGAAAATCAGTCTAAATAAAGCAAAAGCTGGACTCTCAACATATGATATGCAAGAGCGGTGCATAAATAAGATAGCAAATTTGCTCTATACCCTCAATATTTGTGGTGTCCGCATAGCCACTCCGTCAGTATTTGGTTTAGCAGCAACCCCAAGTTGAAGTCCCCACTTCTTTAATCCAGATCCTTGTGCTACTCTTGCTTCAGGACAGTAGGAGGCCAGATTTTTCAGAAATTCTTCTTTCTCTAGAAGGTGTTGAGCGGGAACATTTTGATTCATCAAAGATACAGCACAAGGTATTTTCACTGTAGGACACTGAGAGATAAAAATCAAATGTTGGATTAACACTTCTTTATACCTACAAAATCAGAGAGAAAACTATTTTGAGGCCATGAATCTTTTGGGATTGTGGAGGAGACAATGTTGAACACTAAATGTCCTCCTTTCACAGCTCATGAATCTTTCTGATAGATGTAAGCTATAGGGACCTAAGCCCACAAGCGTTATAGAAATCTAATCTATATATGTGAGATAATGCTAGTCCAGAATAGCATTATGAGTATTGTCATTTTCTTAATTTCTGTTCCTCCTTTAGTATTTTTTTAATTAAACCTGTAAGCTCTCTCTTTGCAGATCTTTCTTTTTATAGTCTAATGTAATAGTAACTAGCCAACTGTAAATTTGGCCGTAATATTTTTTTGGTCTTACACAGCTTATAAACGGTAACATAATAAATATTACATTTTCTTTGAACATGAGTATGCCTCCTCTCCCCTCAGCATGGGTATATGTTTACTTTACATATTTCCTCCCTGGGCGATATCTCCACTGCAACATAATACGTAAAAGCAGGGGAAAATATGTCTTAAAAACGTTCTCATGAGGCAAAGGGCAGAGGCAGTGGAAGACCAAACTGCTGTCCCATATGTGAGAAATGCAGAGGCAGAATATGGACAGAGATGCAGTCCTTAGCAAAGGCATGGTGATGCTACTGCCAGCCCTTTCCCTGTCCCTGCTGCTTGCATTCATTGGGATTTGGCTCTTGTCTAGCCCTCCAGCCTTCTTTCATACTAAGCTACTCCCTAACAGAGGGGTAAATAAACCTCAGGCTTGTCAGGAAAGAAGCAAAGCAGTCAAAAACAGGGCAGTGTACACTGGAGTAGTGACTTCTGTGTTCAGCAACTCACTGCAAACACGTAACACTGGTTGTTGTCGGTGTGATTTAAAGTTTTTATTTCCATGCTCTCACAGAGAGTAACCTCAGGCATTGGGGAGGACAGTATTACTATGATGAATAATGAAAACCCCCTTGGTTTATAATTGGACATTGATTCTTCCCTCGCCCTTCTGCATGAATTCATGCACCATACTGCCCTCCGTTTGCAAGCTCATGCTGGGCAAAACATATCCCCCTTTAAACTGACATCCTTTCTCTCAGACTTCCTAAAGGTTTTTTGCAGGAGCAGAATATATTTCCATCCTTGCACTTCCCGAATTAACAGAAGTGTCAGGCCTGTCTTCCAGAAGAAGCAAGGGCAGGAAGGAGCAGGATGGAGCTTCTTTCTCTGTGTCCTACACTTGGCACCTGTGGGTTGTACAAAGACCCATCATTTGCAAAGGAGCTGAGAGCTGTAGCTGCTCTCCCAGAAGCAGAGAGAGCTTTCAGGCTGACTGAACCGCAGTAACTGATCCCCCTTGACTCTTGATTTGGATCGTCTATCTTATGCTCCTCACCTTATTCCTTTAAGAAATATAAGTGTACTCACACTTATCCCCCAAATGAGCCCATCTGCTGTAGGAAGACTGTAGATAAATAATACCAATTATCCACCTTGGTGCATTACTCTGACTTTGCCTGTGGCTTTTCCTTGGATCAGATTGAGTTGAATGGCTTAACAGCAACGGACAACAAAAGACTAAACACTTGCTTTGCAGAATAAGTCATTTAGATGAATATATGTATGGCAGAGTTTATAGATGGAGAAAGGAAAGAGCATATTTTTGAGATATTATAATCACATTTTTAAAACATAAAGTATATCCATATAAAGCATGTAGTATTTCTGTATTTATTTGTTTTCCTTTGCAGCAGAACAAATGCATGGTCTGCTGCCAGCCAAAAAGCAATATCTTTCTTTTTCACTACATAATTCTTGATCTGAGTAGCAGGGAGTCTTATGAAACATTTTGAGCCAATGTTAATTTTATAAATTGTATTCCCTTTTTCACAATTCCCATGAAAAAGGTATTCAGCTAGATGAACACTCTTGGAAAAATTTAATAGGACCCTTGAAATCTGTTTGAATTTGGCATCTTTAGAAAATATCTCTCTAATGGAAGCTGTGAAAGTACCAGAGATTCTTATGCCTTAGAGGCATTTTTTTAATTCCACACATAATGGTGAAACTGCACTGTTATAATATATAGGTGCTTAAAATATTCTCTTTGCTGGATTGAAGCTACTGCTTGGGAGTATGTAAGTTGGGCTTGTTTGTTCTTTTTTTTTTCTGTGTTTTATTGTTGTTCTCTTTTTTTTTTTTTGTGATTTGTAACACTTTTTGTATTTTTCTTCAGTCATTTCCTGGCCCAAGTCTTGAAAGTGAAGATTTTAACATACCTCCTATAACGCCTCCATCATTACCTGACCACTCACTGGTGCACTTGAATGAGATCGAGTCTGGATACCACTCGCTGTGTCATCCAATGAACCACAACGGCCTCCTTCCCTTCCATCCACAAAACATGGATCTACCTGAAATTACAGTTTCCAACATGCTGGGCCAAGATGGCACACTGCTTTCAAATTCACTCTCTGTGGTAAGCATTTTCAGTCTTTCTTTTTGTACTTCTTTAACTTAAGAAAATGCAGATGTGCAAATCTGTTTGTAAGGCTCAGAGGGAGCCAGCACCTTAACCGCTGAAGTCTTGGAGCCTTGGTGAGCTTCAGATTGTTAAAATAGTCCTCCCACTGTAGGCAGTGTGAGTTTTACAGTTGAAATCCTGAAAGCCAAGGATTTTGTCCACTGACCAAAGTAGAACTGCTTCTGTTGTAGATTGCTGTAAATAATGACAAAAGCAGGCCCAGGACTTTGACTTCTGCTGAAGCAGGAATTTAGCTTGTTGTTCTGTGTTTTTCTTATGAGGCTCTTTCCATTCTAATTTGCATCTACTGAGAGATGTACAAAAATTTAATATCTCCTTTCATGTTTACTGCACGTTTGGAAAACAGCAAATGTTATTTCTGATTCTAGGCCAAATCCTAGAGCCTTTTTACAGTTCCCAGTCCTTAGCCAGCCACAATCCAATTGAAATGACTGGACGATTTGCTTATAAAGTCTGTCAGATAGTCATTATGGTTGTAATCTTGGGAAGCCTGATATTATAAATCATTTCTTTGAATGTTAAATTGCCTGCAATAACTGCAGAGCTCCTTTGAATGTTAAATTTTCAAGTGGGTTCTATAAGTAATTAGTATACTTTTTACATAGGAGTTCCAGACAAGACCATTTTACAGAAGAGGTTGTTATTTTTGCTTCACTGTAGAATTCTAGGCCAAAGAGTGAAAAATCCTGTTGCAGAGGATGGGGCTGCACGATTCAGTGTCAGCTTGGCAATGGGCAGGGAGCACTTCAGACTACTAGATGGGCCACCCAAGAGCTGCACATCCAGAAAGCCAAAGTTAAGGATCTGCCACTCCAGTGATCCAAGGGTCTTGGCTTGTCATCACGAGAATTAGACACTTAAGAGAACTATGTTCCAGCTGGAAGGCTCTGTGTTTAGGCATTAAGTTTGTTTAGGCTTCCAGCTTCCTACCTCTGCATCACATTGCCTAAAATTAAATCAGATCTGGGAGTTTGCAAGGGAATCTGGGGCAGAATATGGAGGTTTGGGAACTGAGGAGTCTAGGCTTAGCTCTGTGTTGATCCATCAAGCTAACTGTCCTAGAGCCGGGGGCTTGGAAGTCATAGTGGCCAAGGAACTGATGTGAGTTGGCAGAAAACCAGTTAGTTTACAACAAAAATCTGCCTTGTCACAGGGCTTCGTTGTAACTTAATTAAAATCAAACTGCCACGGTTTCAAGGAGCTCTGAGTTCCCTCTGAGGATGTCCAACAAGCAGTACTGCAGGGAGGCTAATCTTGGCATCTTATGTGCTGCTTAGTTGTCATTGATTTACTAGGATGTTGCACGCTTTGTGGTTGAGGTCAGGATCCAACTCCAGGGTTATGTTTGGTAATGGGAGGAGAAGGGGAAGAGGCAGTTTTTCATCCAGAAGTATAAATAGATGTTAATGGCAATACTTCGAATTTTGCTTGCAATTCTGCAAAACTGATGTCTTACAGAAAATAACATGACCTAAATCTTGTGTAGGGTTCTACGAATCAGAACTATAAAAGGCCCTGAAGAAGAGAAACCCTTGATACTCCAGTAAAGACAAACAGTATTTCATTGAATTGACCTCTTTTGAGCTATGATTATGGCTCAGAAACTATGTGTGCTTTTAAGCTCTGGTATTCCACATTAGCCTCTCACAAAGACCTCTGAACAAAGGTCCTTGAGAGTTAGTAGATCATCACAGTGAATTATTGGATCAAGGACAAATAGAGAAAAAGCTTAAGAATATAACTAGGCAATTTTGCTATTGGGACTTCGTGTAGATCAGAAAATATCAAAATCAGAACTCGAGGAAATATGCATAGGAGCAAGTAAACAAGCACTTAATTTAAACAGTCATTCCCCAGGATATATTCAACAAATAAATCATGATCCTTGAAGCATCATGGCCTAAGTCAACTAACTTGCATGCCCTTTACACACAAGACGGCCTTTTAACTAGCTATACTTTTAACTCAAGCTGGTTTGTCTGTCAAGGGGATAAAGCTACCTCTCAAGTTAGCACAACTAGTAGGATGTTAACACCATGATTTTGCACAGCTCGATTATTACTTTGCAGTGTAGCCACTCTGATTTGAATTTGCTGAGGAACTGAGGGAGAAAATATCAGTTCATTCTTCAGTGAATCCAGTGACTTCTTCAGTGAACAGAGTGGTTCAATTGTCCTTTTGGCCTTCCATTGATGAAAAAAGACATAGGTTTTTGCAGAGTTAGCATTCTTTATTTAGCTTTGAAGCAAGCTCTCTGTTCTTTATAGTCCAGAACCCTTTCACATTTTTTTTTCCTTTGGTATGACTTTATTCTCTTGCTATTACTCATCTCTCAGTTTCCTTTTTACTATCTCATCAAACTCTGATCAGTTTGACAAGTATTTGCTTAAATCACTTTCATAGTGTCTTGCATGGAAAATAATGTATAAGTTTCTCCAATCTATCTAAACCCTTAGTTCCATATGATTTCTGGTGTATCAGCTATCAGTTAACATATCTGGAAACCACGTGTCTTCATTTTTCAGGGCACTAATGAATATTTTTAGAAAAAATATTCTTAGAAATGAATCTGTTGGCTGTTCTCTATCCCTAATTAATTTCACATCTTTAGCAAATTCTACTTCGTTGGGGTGAATTTTTCAGTGCAATGTGTATCTGATTGAATTTGATCTATTTATTTTTACTTTCAGCATTTTTCCTTTCAACTAATTTGCTGGTATTAGACCTACCTTTTTTTGTTAGAACTGCCTAGTGATTTTCAGTTACTTCTTTAATAGTGCATTAATTAATGCTAGCCAAATGGCAGAAAGGCACAATAAGCTCAAATAAAAATAGGAAAATAGTTTGCACTCCAACTGTAGCACTGCTTTTTAATCTCAACAGCTGAGTCTTTTCATACAAGGATTTCCGTGATTTTGGACAGAGTGAAGATTAAGGATTTACCCCTTTTGGAAGTACTTTTTTCAAACTCCTCCCATCAGAACTCCCAGTTTCATGCTGTGCAGTGCTCTCTACAAGCTTCAGATTAAATCCCTCTGAGTAAGGATTGCAGGATTTGCCCCAAGCTCTGAAAGAATTTTCCTCTGTAGAAGTGCTTAAACTCACACAGTAAAAACCCAGCACTAGCTTAGTGAATTTTTATTAGGAATCTGCTTCTTGCAGGTTTTCTACATTGTGAGAATTCTCTTTCTGAAAAATTTCAGAATGCTGAGAGATGAAAATTTCTCACTGGCATTTACTGTACCTGACACTTTACGTTTGGAATTAGCCTCCTTTGATGTTTTTTAGATTGATTGAAGTTCTTATTGTACCCTCAGTATTAAAGGAAAATAGAAAAAAAAAACACTTAAAGTTTATTTTTCTCAATATTCTGTCAGTTCTTATATTGACTTTTACTTTCTTGTATTCATGTCTTCCCATTAGGTGTCACACACATGTTGGAGACTTCTTTATATGTTTATTATCTATAGTATTATAGCAAATATTGGGAGTTCAGGAGCCTCAGAATTCATGTAGAATCTGAGTGCGACATGGTCCAGCCCTGGTGTGATGGTTCATATGTGCGAACGCTCTTAAGTCCTCTTTCAAACTGGACATAACTTCCATTCCTGTTTCTTAAACAGAGTAGGTATAGATATAACTGCATAATAAAAGTGTGCTGATAGCTCTGTAGGCATATTTGTTCCTGATATGATGAAAAAGTATATTTTCTCACATATTACAGTGGAAGGTAGATCCACTAGGTTTGGTTCAGTTTCAGCTGTGTCTTGACCTGCCTGCACTTCTCTGCTTGCATGAATTTTCCAGAGCTCTTACAAGGACTGCCAGAAATACTCTTCCTCCATTTGCGAATAAATGTGATCTATATGGTTCCTATGAGAATGTGCATTTATCTGCAAAAATGTTTTTTGGATGTGTTGTATACGATGAGTTTGACTGTGTGTTCATTTCATCAACAAAATTATAGGCATTCCAGCTTTGGTAGTATATCCTATAGATGACTGTTTTTCCCCCAAGAAACCAGGGATAAAAATCACAGTGCTGTTTTTATGGGGGGGAAAAACTACTTTTGGAATGCTTTCATTTATAATCCTTGTGCTGATCTTTTTTTGTAAATGATGGTATGCTATGGAAAAAATACAAGAAAGAAAGAAAGAGATTTCAATTTCTCTGAATGCCTCAAATTTCTAGTTTTGAAGTTTAAAGTGGAAAAGAAGTTAAAAGGCAATAAAATCAGGGGATTTATTTCCCAAATGTTCTATTTGTGCTTGCAACAAAAGGCAGCATAATGTATATACTTTGGTTTATTGTCATTTTTAGTATACAGTCAAGGCACACTTTGAATTCAAAGGCTACTGTACAACTGTTTTGACAACCAGCACATCAGTAGGTAATGTGCAGGACATATGAAACTGAAGCGAAAATGTCTCTTTAGGTCTATAGGGAGTGCAGTACATCAATGGATTCAGATGTATTAGAGCAGCATGAATTTCTAATATGTTGCTCTTATGGAAAAGACCACTGGCATATTGAATAATGCTGCTTTCAAAGCAGAGCAGAAAATGTGATTGCAGACAATTTCATTGCTGTTTTTAAAATAAATATTTTCAAAATCTTGAGTTTTTTTTCATGTAATGCATAAAATATGTAACGGTGGACTGGAGCTAAAGATCTTCTAGGACACTGAAGAGTAGATGATGTCAGCTATAATTATTCAGATGTGGAATAATAGAAGCATTAGTTTAAAATAAAATGCATGTCACAAAGGCTCATGTCCTTATATAAAAAAAGCAATAAAAAGCTTTTTTTTTCGCACACTTTGACAGAAGAATAAAGGCAATGAATAATTATTTAACATTATGCCCCAGTTCATCAAAGCTTGAACAATTACATTATACTTTTTCATGAATTATAATTTTTAGATATGCAGCCCA